TGTGTGTGTGTGTGTGTGATCAAAGAATGGCGGCAAAACGGTGACCTCAGAAAAGTTTAAAATGGTTACCTCAAAGAACCAGGAAGCGTTACAGACCAAGAAAAACATTGGAAAATGAGATAGAAAAGGCGATGAAGGAACGAGATCATCAAGAGGAAGATTGAAGAACAAGGCGACTGGGATTCAAGAAGCGGCATCAGCTGTAAACGAACCTCGCTACTTCTATTGCTGCTGCTGCCACTTCTGCTGCTTCTACCACCTCTGCCACTTCTGCCGCTTCCGCCATTTCTGCCGCTTCTGCTGCTGACGTTGCTGCTACTACCTACTGCTGCCAAGACCCTCGTTTCCATAGATGTGTCAGAAACATGGTAACGAGTGTTGTCAGACGCATGTGCTCTGTGTTTTCTTTTCAGTATAATCTACAATTTTTTTTTTTATCTTCAAAAATTTTATTGTTACAATTAAGGCAAAGGGGGTAATAATCTATCCAAGAAGTAACATATTTACGGTGTTGCTTGACGATTCCATTTTTATACAGATGGTTGATTCACGTTTCCAGAAACGTCATCGTCTACGGTGATTAGTACCGTTTAGTGATTTATTATTGCGGGATGTGGCGGTGTTCCTCAACCGGTGGATGGTGAGATCCGACGCCGACCTACATCATCGGCTTGCGACAGTTTACCTCCTTCAGGTATCGCCCGGAAAGTGTGGTAGTATAGAGCGTGTAAGTGTGCAAGGAGAGAGTTTAGGAGAGGGCTTTGTAGATATTAATATGAGTGAAAATAAAACACGAATTTGAATGATAATCTTCAGTAGATTATCATAATTTATTTCATGAAAAATTAACTTACTTCTAAAACCACAATTAGCCTGAGTTATCGTTTGTTTTGTAGATTTATTTCTCACTTATTTGTTAGACTTTCATGTTGTTGGGACGGATTTACACATTTTTTCCTGAAAACAGAAAAACGAAGGTAACACAAAAATTTGAAATATTCTTATAAACCGCTGACAAATATGTGAATAACAATATAATACATATAAGTCTAATTTTTAGTGCATTTATGCCACGTAAAACCGTGTGACGAGCAGGAAAAAGCGAGTTGAAGGGGCAGAAAGGGCGGAGCGTGAGGTGTGAACTGATGTGGTTGCGTAGGCTTCCGCGGCCGGAGTTTATGTTGGCTGGGCTATCCGGGACAAGCCGCGTCAATGTCATGGTGGCTAACGTTTCGGCCAGCGTATTGTGTCCTTCTTCAGAGCGTACTGCTGAGCTTCAGAGCGTTCAGCAGTACGCTCTGAAGAAGGCCACAATACTCTGGCGGAAACGTTAGCCACCATGACATTGACGCGGCTCGTCCCGGATAGCCTAGCCAACGAGTGAACTGGTGAACCTTGGCAAGAAGGGTGGATCGTGCGGGACAGACGAGCGTAGAACGAGCGTGAGTGGCTGTCACCGAAGCAGAACGGGTAGAGCGTGCGGAGAGCGTGAGGTAACTAAACAATGTCAAATGTTGAGGCAACTTTGGATAATCAGCAACTGCGACATAGTACAGGGTGCGCCAGAGAATCTTACTTATTTGAAAAAATTCCCGCGCGGTGAGTATATAATGTGCCGTTAGAAAAGAAGCTCTCGACTGCGAAGGCCCGCTGCTCTCTAGTCCACAGCATGATGGCAACTGACCGGAAGGAGAAAAAAACTTGGGAACTTCCCCCTCCAGATACGCCCCCTCTCGCCCCTCTAACCGCCCAACTCACCGCGCGGGAATTTTTTCAAATAAGTAAAGTTTCTCTGGCGCACCCTGTATTTGCGACATACCTGTGGATATTCGTGGCCTCGTACGTGGGATCTTCGTCTCAGTTCTCCTTCTTCTTGTATTTGCACATGCATTTACGGATGGCCATGGTCCCAGCTACTCCCTTGTCGCCTTCTTTCTGCTCTTTCTGTCCTGCAAGCACACGCATACAAGTGTAAAGTACTACACACGTTCTCTGTGCGAAGAAAACTCAACTCTGGTGTTGGAGCCATTGTGGGGGTTACGTACAACAGCAAGCTAATTGAGCTCATTTATCTTGAGAGACATCACTTAAGTGCATTAAGGAACATTAAGGAACTTAAGTTCAGTGCATTAAGGAACTTGAACTTGCCTGGTCTTTTCGGCAAATAACGACGCGCGTATATATAACTAATGTTAACATGTTGAATAACGCCACCTATACTTGTGTGTGTAAGTAAGAGTAGATATCCTTGACTTGCCATGTGAGCTTGGAGGCCATTGGCCGAAAATGCCAAAAAAAGGTCTTCCCATTAATGATGACTGTTGCTAAGTAAGTTAGATCACCTGCCGACGCATTTCATGCCACCGAAATTGAGTGTTCTTTTTACAGACCTCGGAGTGTTACAACACAGATCGGTGGGTGTATGCCAAAGTTAGAATTTTGGCCATACATGATACGTTAAGGACTAATGACATTTTTGTCAATTGTAGGAAACTGTCCACACAAAACCCCGTGTTACAGTGTACGTCAACTGCTAGGGTTCTTACTCCCAAAGTGTAGGGCATGCTTTTATTGCGGGAGGTTGCGGTGATCGCACGCTGGTTCGTGAGATCCGGCGCTGGTCTACTCGTCGCCTTGCGGGGTTTTCCCCAACCAGGTATCTCCTACCAGCGGGTCACCTCCCACACGGGACGAACTCCAAGCGCTCGGTCGGTCTCCCGCCATGTGTGATAGTGTAGTGCACGGAGCGAAAGTGTATGAGATAGTACAAGGAAGAGGAAGGAAAGATCGCGCGCGGTCCGTGGCCCGTTTGTTAGGGTACTTCTCCGGCATTCGCCTGGTGTTGATCTTAACCATCACAGCCGGAAAGAGCTCTAAGCTCCCCACCGGT